ATTTGTTTATAACTATCGCATTTATTGTTAAAATTTTATAAAACCTATGACAAGTTGAGGGTTTTGTCATACTTTAAAAGTGTGCCAAAAGTGGGCGCTGTAGGTGCAATAGTTTTCGCACAATTCTATTTGTTTATAGCGGAGGCTCCAAAAGTTATGAACTTTAAGCCTCTGTACAGGCGTTAATTTTCAACCAAACATGATTCTGAAAGTGTTATTGTAATCTTAAAGACGTAATTAAGCGACCTATTAAAAAATATCACCGGTTTTTTGACATTAACATTCTCAAATTGTGCATTAAAAAACTGTGCGCTTTTCGCTTATAAACAATTTTAATAAAATTGTTGCTATTTATGCTACCTCACAGAAAATAGATGCAATGGATAGCTGGCAAAAAATACAAATTTAAAAAAAAGCACCCTCTACGACCAACAGGAGCCAAGATAAGAATTTTTTTTTAAATCGTAGCGCAATTGTTTATAAACATTAAGGCTTGAATTTTTCGTAAAATAAAGTTTACGACGTAAACTATGATTTCCCGCAAATTGCATTGAAAAATGTGGAAAAATAACGAATCACGAGCCCTTTAAAGAGAAGGTACTTGCAGTAAACTGTCCGGCGAGGTGATGGGGGAAGCTCGTCCAAGCGAGTTGCGTGCGAGAAAGGTGAAATCCACAGTTCAAATTGATGCGCACTGTAAATTTTGCAATATCTCGGCTTCTATTCATCGTAGAAACTTCTTTTTTATTTAAACTGGGGTAGCTCGACGAAAAAATAACAATGGGCATATTTACGAATTCGTAGAATAGACCTGAACCCTAGAAAAGATGCATGTTTCATACTTAATTTTTTTTTAATGTACAAAAATGTCACAAAAATTATTGTTAAACGAAATATAAATTAAAATTTCGATTTCGGAATTATTTTACTATTATTAAATAAATAAATGAAGCTATCGTTGATTTAAAGTTATTTTTCATAAAAATAGAAAAAAATTTAAATTGTGCGAACACTTTTGGCACACTTTTAAAGTATGACAAAACCCTCAATGTGTCATAGGTTTTATAAAATTTTAACAATAAATGCGATAGTTATAAACAAAT